ATATATATATATATGAAAAAGCTGTCCTTATGTTTAGTTGTTTTGGCATGCAATGCTCTATACCAGTTCCTGAGGGGAAAGTTTGAAACAGTTTATGACTGGGATGTGCGGTGTCTGTAGATATTTTCTCAGCCCATTTTTGAACTTTGCTGTATACTGGTCCTCAATGGAAGGCAGATTGGTTGCAGATGTTTTTTTTTCTGCAGTCCTAACTATCTATTGAAGTCTATACCCGTCCTATTTAACAACAACTCTGGAGCGCACAACAGATATAAACTAAATGTAAACCACTCCAAACTCGATTGCAGGAAGCATGATTTCAGCAACAGAGTGCTCAATGTCTGGAACTCACTACCTGATTCTGTTGTCACCTGCTCAAACCCCCACTCCTTTGCCCTCAAACTAACTTCTGTTGACTTCATCCCATTCCTAAGAGGTCTGTAAGGGGCGTGCATAAGCGCACAATCGTGCCTACTGTCCCTGTCCTACTGTCCCCAATTATTAGTTCCTATTTCTTGGATTTAAACTTATGTTTATTCTTGTTTCTGTTATATTGTAAGCTTTTGACAAATAAATAAAAATAAATAAAAATATCTGATTGCTGTAGCAAACCAGACAGTTATAGAAGTACAAATTACAGATTCAATCATTCTTCTGTAGAACTGTATCATCAGCTCCTAGGGCAGTCTGAATTTTCTGAATTGATGCAGGAAGAACATTTTTATTGTGGCTTTTAATAGTTTGGGTGATTCTAATGTTAGGTGTAATAAAATAAAAAATAATTTATTTAATAATTTATTATTTTAAATTATAAGTAATTTTATTGGAAATTGCACATAATCTTCAAAAAATGCAAACAAAATGGTAAACCATGTATACAGCTTTGTATATACAGCAAACAGAACTATGCATCAGGGAGTATACCTCAATGTTAATAATAATTTCCTATCTGAAAAACAGGTATAATGCAATATAAAATTTGACTTCAAACTATGTATGTATACATTTATCATATTTAAAATATTGGTATTGTTATCGTATTTTAATATATTAGCTTCTGCTTGAATTGTTACATTTGAACATGTGTACAATTGTACAATTTTTACATTTAAAAGAAAATTTTAATTATTGCGACTCATTTATTGTCCAATTTAGTTGGCTATTGAATTGAACTTTACCATTTGAAATCTTACTTTAATGCTAGAAGATTTCCTATGCAGCCCTGATCTGATGCTAGATCAGTGCTGAAGTAACTGGTGTATAAATTTTCTCATTCATAGTGGCATGGTCAATAAAAATGAAAGTTTCGTTTCTGATTTTCAGTAAAAGTTTTATTAGCTTTGTATCATGAACTATATTATCTAATTGTTTAAGGGGGGCTAATTTTCATATTTTAGAGAAATTGCAACCTCTTATCTTCTTTTTCTGAGAAAAAAAGAAAAAAAATGATCAGGTTGCAATGAATAATCTGTAAGATAGGAACTAATTGTGCTTTCATGGCAAATCCCATCAGTAACTTACATTTCTCACATTAATACAGTGAACTATTTTAAATTAATCAATTCCTTGGTTAGCCACAAGGTTTTCTAATATTCAGAAACGTTTCATATGCTAATAGATGAATTTGCAATTATTCTTTACATAAATAAAGAAAATAGACCTTTGCATTGTGATGGTATTTATAATTTTGTTAAAATAGATATATGGTGTTTTCCTTATTTTGTATCAGAGATCCTTCATTTTAGGGAGCTACATTCTATAACAAAGACTGTATAACATTTTTTTATTTGTGAACTTTTGGAAAATATTCATTTTTAACTATTAATCTTTTATATATGTGTGTGTGTGTGTGTGAGAGAGAGAGAGAGAGAGACAAAGACTGTCAGATAAAAACAATGTAGCTTGTGCTTTTGATTGAATTACAATTGAAATTGATTACAAGTATTGAATGTTCTGCATAGAACTTTGTATACAAGCTCTTTTTATTTGGAAAATACTTCATAGTGTTAATATTATATTGACAAAATAAGAAAAAGAGATTATGAAGTGATATATTGACCTATATTTCATAATGAACTTGACAGAAATAGGGCTCATGTACCTGCAGTTTCAACTGATGAACCTTACATGTCTTTCTACAAAAAGTTATTTTTTTTAAAAAAAGGTTTGTCCCTAGAATAAAAATAAATTAAAATCACAGGTATTTTAAAGGGATTAAAATAATTTAAGTGACTAGCTCAATGTTACCCAGTTATCTTTGTGCCTAAGGTACCTACGGTGGGACAAGAACTCAGTCTCCCAATTTCTAGCCTGATGGCTTAATTGCTACACCAAACTCAGTACTTCTTTATATATAACTTAAAACGTAGTATTTGAACCCCTTTACAGTTCTCAGGGCCAGCTATGTCATTTACTTGAGATATATGAGTTAATATAACAACAAGTAGTGTGTTGGGTAAGAACTGCACCTTGTGTGTTTTGCTGCCAACTCTATATCCCCTAAGCTAGAGGTTCCCAACCCCTAGGCCACCACCCACTACCAGGCTGGGGCCTATTTGAACCTGGGCTGCCAGAACAACAGGCTGACATGCTACTCACATGGGCCGGTTCCTTTCTCCCACCTCATCCCCTTCCCCAGTTTGCCAAGCTGTAAAGGTTTGAGGCCACTACCCTAAGCTATGTTGCTTACCTCCAGTATGGTAAAAGATATGGTCCTGTCCTAATTGTTGTTTGAACTGAAATGTGCTCATGAAATCAGATAGAAGTTCCATTTGATCCTTTATCTCAAGCTGAAACATGTTTTAAAGCCAGCTTTGCACAAGAAGATGGCTATAACAGCAAAGCTGTCTCTCAAACCACCTGATGCGTTGCTCAAGTTCTACATGTAAGCTGTTACCCTGTTGTCATGTATAACTAAGTAAAGAGAAGAGTCAGATCCTATAAAGAAGGAACATGATTACCTTAGAGTGTTGTTGGCAGTTGAGATTCAAAGTGTGGCCTGATGGTGGCAGGTCAAGAAAAAGGGTAGGGGGAGAGAAGAGTCTGCAAGAAGAAAGCAAGAGAAGAAAGAAGAAAACAAAGAAATCCAAAGAAGTTAAGAGATAGT